TTTAGGTTTCATTGTCATTTTTTTCCCTAGCTCCTTTAGGTGTAAGGTTAGGTTGTTTATTTGATATTTTTTCTTGCTTCTTGAGGTCGGCCTGATGTAAGCTTATACTATTAGAACCACTTTTGCTGCATCTTTGAGATTTTGGACTGTTGAGTTTTCATTTCATTTGTTTCCATGTACTTTTTAAATTTCTTTATTGATTTCCAGATTGATCCATTTATTGTTAGTAGCATGTTATTTAACCTCCATGTACTTGTGGTCTTTCCAGATTTTTTCTTGTTGACTTCTAGTTTCATAGCACTGTGGTCAAAAAATATGCATGGTATGATTTCAGTCTACTTTAATTTGTTAAGGTTTGTTTTGTGGACTACTGTGTGATCTATTCTGGAGAATTCCATGTTCACTTGAAAAGAATGTATATTGGGCTCTTTTAGGATGGTATGTTCTGAATGTATTTGTTAAATCCATATGGTGTGTCATTCAAAGCCATTGTTTCCTTGTTGATGTTCTCTCTGTTGATGTAGGTGGGGTGTTAAAGTCCTGTACCATTATTGTATTATTATTGATTAGTTCTTTTATGTTTGTTATTAACTGTTTTATATATATATGGGTGTCCTGTATTGAGTACATAAATATTTACAATGATATCTTCTTGTTAGATTGTCCCTTTATTATAATATAATGTCCTTATTTGTCTCTTGTTGCAGTTTGTTTTAAAGTCTTTTTTGTCTGATCCAAGTATTGCTACTCTGGCTTTCTTTTGATATGCATTTGCATAATAAATATTTCTCCATATTATCACTTTCAATTCTAAAGATGTCTTTAGGTCTAAAATTGACAGCATATAAATGGGTCTTGATTTTGAACCATTCTGTCACCCTCTGTCTTTTCATTGGATCCTTTAGTCCATTTATATTCAAAGAAATTATTGATAGATATTTATTTATTGCCATTTTATTACTTTTTTTGTGGTTGTTACTCAAGATTTTCTCTGATTCTTTGCTGTCTTTTTCCTTTTCATATTTTGCTGATTTTCTTTAGAGATGTATTTGAATTCCTTTCTCTTTATTCTTTGCATATTTATTAGTGATTTTTGATATATGATTGCTGTTAGGTTTTATATATAACTTAGAGGTCCATTTTAAGTAATATTAATAATTCAATGCAACCAACTTTATGAGCACCTACTAAGAATATTCAGTTGGCTAATTTCTTCTGAGTAATCAGCAAAATAGAAGAATAAAACACAGTATTGCCTTGTAGATGATAACAATCTAGAAGTTATGATAAGCATATTTTTCTTTTTATAAGTTTTATTTGGGTATAATTTACATACCCAATGTATACATACATAATTTGCATATAGTTTAATATACTTTTATGTGTACAATTTGATAAGTTTGACATATATATGCATGTGTGTATATATATACACATATATATTTATATATATGTAAAATATCTCCAAGTAACTGTCACCTCATATAAAATATATAATATTCTCTTTACCCTAGAAATTTCCCTTGTGATTTTATGTAGTCAACTCTGGCTCCAAACAATGATTGTTCTGATTTTTTCCCACCATAGACTAATGTTGACTATTTCAGAAAGGTTTTATGAATGAAAACATATAGTAATTAGGAGACAATGCTCTAACCATATCACAGTTCTGCATGTCTGTGAGAAGAGGTAATGACTGCTTTTGTTCCAAGACTATTTTTGCACATATGTTTGTATAGTGAGTAACCTTGGAAGCTAGAGGTAATGTCTTTCTCCTTAGAAAACGGCAGGTTTGTTATTGTGCAGTGTGTTAAAAATGTGTCCATGTGGGGCAAAGATCAGGTAGGCTTACTGCCCATTATAATAGATTCAGATTCCCAGAGTTCCCACATTTGTCTTCTGTAACACATCTCACTGTGGAAGTGTGATACTCTGACTAATCTGATTGCTTTGAGTAATAAAGTCCTTTGTCTCTGACCCAGCAATTTCATTTCTTATGCCAGCAGACATGAAACTTATAAGCTTATTCACTGCATGAAATCTCAAATCTTTCACAATTCTTGACAACAGTATGTATTCTTTTAAGTCTGCTTTCTTTAGCTTAGCATAAGGTTTTTAAAATCCATCCGTGTTTTTTCACAAATTAATAATTAGTTTCTTTTATTGCCAAGTTGTACTAATTGCATGATTATATCAAATTGGTTTATGTTCCCTTGTTGATGTACATTTGGGTTGGCAACAGACTAGAAGTCAAGATCAGCACATTTTCTAAGTAGTAGTTATTATAATATGTAATCCAATAGAGATATTTATAAAATGCTATTATAGTATAGAAGAAGGAATGATTAGTTATGCAAAAGAAAATTTCACAGATGAGTTGACGTTTGAGGTGGACCTTGAAGAATGAGTCTCTTCTCTAGAGTAAAGAAGGCCTGGCTTTGTGCCTTATTTCAAAGAAACCAGAGTTTTATTCAAATTTCTAGTCTTGGCATTTTATATATGTACTTCCATGAATAAGAATTTTTTTCCAAAAAATTATATGCTCCATTTGAAATTGAGAGAGGTGACTCCTATTTTTAAGCATCCTCAGAACTTTATTTAACTCTTCCTTCAGGTCACCAGCATAATCAGTCACTAATGGCACTATAATGTTTTCAGGGGTTATTGGGGTGCTGTCCAACTTTTTCCATACTTAATGAATGAATAGTAATTTAATATGAGTTATTTATGTATTTGCACTATTATGTAGATAGTAAGATCATCTTTAGGAAATGCTGCTATTTTTATAATTTACAAACTACAGTCTAAATAAGTGTACTAAATAAGTTTGTACTACAAACTAAGTAAATGTACTTGTTTGGCAACAATAGCTTCAAAGGCTCTGAATCTATGATCTCTCCCCCAAGCGGAAAGCTGTCTTATAGCCCCTCCTGTGTAGAAATCCTCAAATAGTCCAGCCCACACCCCAGTCTTCACCATGTTAGTGGCTTTCCACAGGCAAGTCCTGCTTCAGCAGACTGTTGGTGAGAGGAAGCTTAGTTCTATACATTTTGACTAACTATTGGATCTTTGTCTTTCATATTTGTTCTTTGAATAAAATGGTCCCCCTTAGAAATATTTGTTTTGGGCTAACTGTATATCTGATATTAAAGGGACTCTAAAATAAATAAACTCTTGGTATAATTTTATAATTTATTAAGAGATAAAAGTAATATATGTGAAATATCTCATATTGTCAATAAATATGTTGTTGACAATAAGTACATTGAATTAATTGATAACTGAAAGACATACAGAGAAGGGTTGAGTGTAGAATCTAAAACCAAACTGTATGGTTTGAATTCTAGCTCTATTATTTACTAGTTGTGTGACCTTGCATGAGTTATTTGACTGCTTCAGACCAACTGTAAAATGAGGATGATAATAATAGCATCTACTTCACAAGGTTATTGTGAAGATTATGTGATTTAAAATGTATAAAGCATTTATGACATTGCCTGGTACACAGTAAGCAATATATGTGTTTGCTGTTGATATTGATAATGATGATGATTTTAGTTGTAGTAAGTTCCAAGAAGGAAGAGATAAGAATAAGCACTGTGTGTCTGGGTTAAATTTAGTACACAGGTTTTTGTGACAGTTTCACAGGGCGTTTGTTGTGGGAGTAATGAACAATAAATTGGGAAGGTAAACTGACTTAGATTACGACACCTTGAAAATGAGCTAAGTATGTACAGGGTGTGCTATGCAATAGGCAGCTCTTAAAGGTTCTGGGCCATATAAAATACATGTTTGGAATTATCAGTTTGGCAGTGGAACTGAGAGAAGGGCCCTTAGAAGCATGAAATTGGAGTTTAGAATCAGGTCATCATCTACATATGAGACAAAGGGATGGTGATGAGAGCTAAAGAAAACCAGTTAGGACAGAGGAATGGAAAGGACAGGAAAAAGATAATATTTTAGTAGGGGAGCAGGAAGAATGATACCATCACCTGTTGGGATAACTAGGAAAGGGAAAATTATGATTGAATCTGAATTATTTAGCATTCTGTTAATGATCCATGATAGATGACCTTAAAGCATTATAAGAATGGTTTCTGTATCCCAAAGCAAGACTGAAATGTGTTCACAATATTTTCGATGATAAAGTGTGATTGTTTTTCCTTGTTCATTGAAAATTGGACATCTATTCATGTTATACAAGAGAGCATTTAAAAAAATACATGATTGGACTACATATTTGATTAACTTGAATGTTATATTTCATAACCATGTTGGGAAGCAGAATTTTCTACAATCCTTAAATTTGTTTCATGATTTCTTTTTATTCTAAGACTGTAATTTAATTGTATTGTGCTAAAACTTGAATTTTTATGTGACACTTTATGTGATGTTTTCATTTTATATTTAAATTCTCTAAATCCTAAAGGAGCTCTATGGGGAGTAATACTATTAGTATGCTTCCTCAAGGTCTGTTAATTTTGTGTTATACATTTTTATAACAATGTTAAGCTATGATATAATAAATATTTGAGTGTCTACCTTTTGTTCTGTTATTTCTTTATTTGTTGCTTCATTTTTTCGGAATGCTAATAAGTAAAGGTAATGGTCTACATGAGGTTATGGTGTAAGTATTAAGCAATGTAGTTCAGGGAGGGGGAAAAAAGGAAAGAATTCTTCACAATCCAGAGTAAAATAATACCTGCTCAAATATTTGTTAAGCTTATGGCTTGAGCACATCATCTTTGCCTATTAGATCCTATATATAGCAGAGACATCAGCCACATTTCTGAAAGATTTTGTTTACCAAGATTATATGAAATTACATGGATTATGTGGAATTTGTGAAAAGCCTTATGTATAAATATTGATGATGATGATTCTTATTTGTAAGATAATGTGTTAGGAATGTCAAAATATGATGAATTCCGATTCTTACTGTTGCCATACCTCCTTGTCTTTTCTTTCCCTCAGACAATTCCATGATCACTAAAAACATCTTTGCTTAACATCTGTCCACCTTTATTTTTTCTCCCAGTCCCCCATTTTTCCCATGAAAGGTAAGCTTGGGATTTGCATGAGTAATTTTCCAGTGTCTAGGGAGGCCTCACTGAGCTAAACACGTGACTACAGATGTCGGCACCTGGAGTGAAAGAATATGTGTTAGTCATGCTGTAATAAAACCCTTAGGAGTTATAACTTTGTGCTTTTCCAACTAAAATGACACTGTGCTCTATGGTTTCGTTTTTAAAGGCAAAATGGAATTTGTCACTTTCACTGCTAATTTTCTCTTCATAAAGGGCTAAGCACTGAGCCTTATTCTTTTTTCCCCTGAGTTGAGAATATCAAGTGCAGTGCAGCATAGCTGGGCTTTATTTGCTGGCCTCTGCAAAGAATGGACAAGCAGCAGCTTCTGAGCTCTTCCACCTGACTGCTTTCAAACTGCTGAAGGGGAAAGAGCAGCAAGTCAATGTGGCAAAAGCTTCACATGGAAGAGTCTGCCAAGTATTAGAATGTTAAAAGTAAAAGCTCAAAATGAAACATATGAGCATAAATATCAAGATAAGCATATCTTAGTGATATATCTGGAAAATAAGACTGTATAATAACATATATATACCCTTATATATATATATCCATTCATATAGACATATCTATATCGATAGATCTAGATATGTAGAAACATGGATCTAAATGTGTGTCTCCAAGTATTTGGTTTTGGCATAAAAAATAAATTGTTTTATTTCTCAGATCACTTTTTCATATGGAATTTTTGGAAGTGTAGGCCTCTGCTAGAGTTTTTTTTTTAAGTTTATCTATTCATTTTGAGAGAGAGAGAAAGAGTGAGAGAGAGAGAGCATGCATGCACTCAAGTGGAGGAGGGGCAGAGAGAGAGGGGGAGAGAGAAAATCCCAAGCAGACTCCATGCTCAGTGCAGAGGCCGACTTTGGGGCTCAGACTCATGAGCTGGGAGATCATGACCTGAGCCAAAATCAAGAGTCAGATGCTGAACCGACCAAGCCACCAGCTTATTCTTATTAAAAATAAATAAGAATTTATGTAATATTTAGTTGCAGTTTAGAGTAGTGGTTAAGAACACTGTCTTACAGCCACACTGCCTAGGTTCAAATGCATGGCCGTTTTTAAATACTCACTTATCAGGAGTAGGACTGTGGGTATCTTCTAGTACCTTAGTTTTTCCATCTGTGAAGTACAACTAATAACTATACTTACTACACAAAGTTGTGAGGATTAACTATGTATACATATGTATATGTTACATATATCATTTGGAATAGTGAGCTGAGTATATGGAAACCTTATATATCATTTATTAAGCAAGTAAAACTCATTATTTCTATCTAAAAGTAAAATGAATGTCATATATAGATTTTCAGTAGTAGTTAATGTTTTTTATGGTCTTTGAAATTAAGGCATGGCATTTTCAAATAAAATGATAAGATGCTAAACTAGCACAGCAATTCAATAAAGGGCCAGAAATAGAACTTCTAATCTATTTATTACCCTCTTATCTTTAGAAGTATTAACTGTAACTGAACTAGAAAAATATTTCCTACTAATCATGTCATTTCTATAAGTAAAATGTTATTAAAAGACCATTTTGAAGAATCATGATATTTTAGTATTAACAGAAATTTTAGATATCAAATAGTTCATTCAGCCTCTTGATCTTGGAGATCAGAGAATTGAGGCCAAGAAAATCAAATGACCTTCTCAAGGTCAGGTAACTAATTCCAGAGCCATGTTTCCTAACTTCTAGTGTCACTATCCAGTGAATGATAGAATTTGCTTCTCTTTTGAGTTTTCTTATAGTATGCCCTATATGTTGCCTAATTTTTTATTTTGAGATACCTTCACACTTACAAAAATGTTATAAGAATAGTACTAGGAACTCCTAGATACCCTTTACCCAGATTTACCAACTGTTTATGTTCTGTTCCATTTGTTTTATCATCCCATATATATATTTGTCTGTTTATGATTTTAGTTTTGAATATTTTGAAAATAAATTGTAGACACCTTATCCTTTTATAAATACTCAGTATGCATTTCCTAAGAGCAACTGCAATTGAGAAAATGAAATGAGAGAATTTAACATTGATATAATAATCTATTCTAATCAAGTTCATGTTTAAATTATAATCAATTTTCCCAGTAATACCCCCTTTCTTTAAAAAATGTTTTTGGGGGCCCCTGGGTGGCTCAGTTCGTTGAGTATCCACCTTTGGCTCAGGTCATGATCTCACAGTTCATGAGTTTGAGCCCTGCATTGGCCTGTCTGCTGTTAGCACAGAGCCCTCTTCAGATCTTCTGCCTCCTCTCTTTCTGCGCTCCCCTCTCTGTCCCTCCCCTGCTTGTACTCACACACCACTCTCTCACAAAAATGAACATTAAATTTTTTAAAATTTGAGTATAATTGACAACATTGCATTAGTTTCAAGTGTACAATATAGTGATTCAACTTCTCTATATGTTATGCTATGCTTAGTTACCATCTGTCACTATGCAACACTATTATAGTACCATTGACTGTATTCTCTAGGCTGGGCCTTTATTCCCATGACTTCCTCATTCTGTAACTAGAAGCCTATATTCTCATGCCCCTTCCCTTATTTTGCCAGTCCCTCTACTTCCTTTCTCTGGCAACCATCTGTTTGTCCTCTGTATTTATAGGTCTGATTCTGCTTTTTGTTTGCTTATTTACTTTTATGAGATTTCACATATGATTGAAATCATATGGTAGTTCTGTCTCAGTACGACTTATTTCACTTAGCATAATACCCTTTAAGTCCATCCATGTTATTGCAAATGGCACAGTCTCACCCTTTTTTATGTCTGTGTAGTATTCCATTGTATTTATATACCACATCTTCCTTATCCCTTTGCCTATTAATGGACACTTAGGTTGCTTCCATATCATGGCTATTGTAAATAATGCTACAAGCAAACAAGAGGCAGAGAGAGAGGGACAGAATCTGAAGCACGCTGCAGGTTCTGAGCTGTTAGCACAGAGCCTGACGTGGGGCTCGAATCCATGAACCATGAAATCATGACCTGAGCCAAAGTGGGATGGTCAACCAACTGAGCCACACAGGTGCCTCCCTTTTTTTAAAATAAGCTTTAACTTGATAAATGAGTGATGTCTTGCAATACAAGTGCTACGTGATGCTAAATGTCACATGATTACAACTGAACCAATGGTTCTTTTTAAAATTTTTTTTTAATGTTTTTTATTTATTTCTGAGAGAGAGAGACAGAGTGAGCAGGGGAGGGTCAGAGAGAGAGAGGGAGACACAGAATCTGAAAGAGGCTCCAGGCTTTGAGCTAGCTGTCAGCACAGAGCCTGACACGGGGCTAGGACCCATGAACTGTGAGATCATGACCTGAGCTGAAGTCAGAAGCTGAACCGACTGAGCCACCCAAGCACCCCTGAACCAATGGTTCTTGAAATTCACTTTGATGTGCAAGTGCTTTGGATTACAAGCATGTTTCCAGAACAAATTATGCTCATAAACCAAGGTTTTATACATATCAACATAGATAAATTCCATAGCCATTATAATGAGTAAAGGAAGCCTGATACAAGAATATAACTCATAATTCTATTCATAAGAAGTTTTAGAATATACCAAAAGGGTCTGTGGTGATAGAAATCATAAAAATGGTTACTCTTGATGGTGTAGATATTGACTGGGAAAGAGCACAGGGGACTTTCTAAGGTAATGAAAATCAATTATATCTTGATGAGACATGAGTCACATGGGTGTAGACATTTATCTAAGTTCATGAACTATACACTTGATATTTGTGTACAAATTATATTGTTCTAATAAATTTTACTCTGAAAAACTGTGAAAATATTGAATTCTAGTTAGTAGGTTTCCTTTCTGCTTTGGTTTAGGTTAGCAATTATGAAATTACCTTCTGTGTATTCCAAGTTGAGCAATTAAATATATATGTTGAACTTCATGGGAAGCCAGATTTCTCACTGTTGGAAGAGACAAATAAATAAAAATTAAATAAATAAGTGAAATGAAATGTATTAGAAATGTTTGCTCATCTTACAGAACACTCACAGAACAAGCTACTTGCAATACAAGGTTTTACTGTATATGTATGGTTTGATTCTTGCTATTGCCCCTTGTTGATGGGCATCATTTGGTTATTTCTATTTGGGGGTAAATACAAGTACAACTTCTATGAACATTTTTGTACAAATATTTTTATAAACAAATGAATTCCATTTCTCTTGGTTAAACATCTATAATTGCAATTCCTTAGTCATAGGTAGGATTATGTTTAATTTTATGAGAAATTGCCAAACTTTTATCAAAGTAGTTTTCATTTATATTTTCACCAGCAATGTATGAAAATTCCAGTTGGTTCATATCCTCACTAACATTTGGTGGTGTTCAGTCTGTTTTGAACTTTGGCCATTGAACTATTTATGTAATGGTATCTCATTATGATTTTAATATAGATTTCTCTGATTTCTAATGGTGCCGGGAATTTTTCGTGACACTTTTGAACATTTGTATATCTTCCCTGTGAAGTGTCTATTTAATTTTTTCCCATTTCTTAATTGTTTTGAGTTTTTGTCATTGAGTTGTAGGAACGCTTTGTATACTATAGATATAGGTCTTTTAGCACAGACCTATGTTTTTGCAAGTGTTTTTTGACTGCCTATTTTTGACTGCTTAAATTGCCTATTCATTTTCTAATGATATCTTTTGATGAGCAGATGTTTTTTCTTTTAATAAAATCAAAATTATAAATTTTTATGGTTATTGCTTTTTGTATCCTTTTTAAAAATCACTTTCTTTCCCCAGGTTGTGAATTTATTCTATATTTTCTTCTAGAAGTTTAGCTCTTAAATTTAGGTCTAATATCCATCTTGAATTATTTTCTCTGTATGATACAAGGTAGAAGAATCTATGTATTATAAACCTAGATTTTTATTATTTTGAAGAGAATTTTCCCAGAAATATTTTCATTACATGTTTTTTGTTGGTATTAGTAAAGACTTCTAGGGTGGCAAGTAAGTAAATCCAACTGAAACTATATTGAGTAAACAAGAATTTGTTTGCTCACTTTGCTGAGAAGAATAAGATGTATCTCATAGGACCAAAGACAGATATATAAAGGCCAGGATCTGAGGACAGAGCATTGGATGTATATTCTGAGGCTCCTTCAATTCTTTGCTCACATCTGCTTGTCTCTGCAGAGCAGCATTTTATAGACAGCTTTTCTTTACAGAGCAGGGGAGGTGAACGCTTTTAGCCTCATGCTCATCCTTCCAGTGTCTCTATATCTGTCCTGAAGAAGGACAAACGACTCCACTTGGAACTGCTTCAGTCACATGCCCACTTCCTGGGCTGGTCACTGTTTTTGGAGAGCTTACAAAGTCTGTATAATCCTATCCAGTCTTATCCTGTGGCAGGGGGATGGTACTACAGACTGAAACAACATGGCATGAGGGAGAGACAGTTCCCCCAAAGATAGGCTTCAGGACATCCAAATAACATACATGCTGCCAGGCTTCCTATCTTTTTTAAATGGCTATTTATGTTTAGGATTCAGTTATTTTTCACTGAACTGCTAATTAAATATATTCAGGTGCAGTAAAGCTAAGTTTCAATTTAGCTTATCTAAAACTAGAGTGTAAATTAATTGGATATTTTGATGAGCTAAATGTGTTCAAATTATATGAGAATAATGATACCTCATCCAAGACCAAAGTTTAACACATAAAAGTCCATCATAATGCAAATGATTCTGGATACAGTAGAAGATCAGTTAGCTTTTTTTTTTTCACAGTGACTTCCGTCCACTTTCTTCAAATTGTAATGAAAAAATTATATCGTCAGTACTTCAGTATAATAAACCATTGGGAGAGCAACTGTGGTTCAGTGATTAGGACAAGATTTATATACTCAGAGTACCTAGTAATTTTCCAGAGCTTATAAAGCAAGGCTGATGCTGTTCACCCCACAGGACTAATTGACAAAGAAGACATGGCCTTTATTGGAAATCATTAAGTACTGCAAGGCTTGCATTTGAAGAAAACTTGAAACTTTACCGTAGACAAATGACTATCTCAGCCAATGTTACCTATTTGTTAAAGTATTTTCTTTGAAGTGTGGTTGAATAAAAAGCTGGCCCCTGAGAGAGCCTTGAAATGATAATGTAATTGACAACATATCTGATTTTCTGGGGTTGGACTCACTAAAGAAAGGAATCTGACATTAAAAGTAATATTTTAGACACGCTTTTGTCTAAGTTTAAAAAAGTGACCATCAGGGAACAGAGATGGAGCAGCCATTGCTCCTCCATTACTTTTCAGATTAAGGTGTGGACAATCTCTTTGTTCCTTTGAGATACCTTTTCAAAACAGTTTTACTAATGAGCTATGAGCGAGAGAGGGAAGGGACACACAAAAACTTAAAAAATCAGATGTTTATAAAAACAGCTTTCTGATCATATGTTTAATGTCTAGTCATAGACTGGATGAATTAATACAAAATAGGAACATCCAACTCATATTACCTTTTTCCTACTTAAGGTCTGTTTTCTTCATTTTTTGTGGCCAAATGATATAATGATAGTTGCTGTCTTAAAGCTCTCAGTGAGCTCTTAGGTCTTTCCATTAAAAAAGGTTCATTTCTATGTTTGCTTCAGGAGTACATATACTAATATTGGAACAATACAGAGAAGATAACATGGCCTCTGTGCAAAGACAGACCTGCAAATTCGTGACACTTTCCACGTTTTAATGTAATGTACAGCATGGTGACCATAGTTCATGATACTGCATTGCATATTTGAAAATAGCTCGAAGTGTGGATTCTGATAGTTCTCATCACAAGGAAACAAATTCTTTGTAACTGCGCATGGTGATGGATGTTAACTGGACTTGCTGTGGTGATTATTTTGCAGTATATATAAATATTGAATCATTACATTGTATACCTAAGACTAATATAACATTATGTCAATTACTGAAGCTAGTGGAGAACCATGAGGGAGAGGAAGGGGGAAAATAGTAAGGGAGAGGGAGGGAGGCAAACCATGAGAGACTCCTGAATGCTGAGAACAAACTGAGGGCTGATAGCGGTGGGGGGGAGGGTAAGGGGGTGATGGGCATGGAGGAGGGCACTTGTGGGGATGAGCACTGGGTGTTATATGAAAACCAACTTGACAATAAACTATTTAAGAAAAAAATAAAATAAAATGAGTCTTTGGAACTGGCAAAAAAATTTAATAAATAAAAATAAAAAAAAACAAAACAGAAGGTAGAAGAAGTTGACTTTCTTTTCTTTTCCCATTTCAAATGTCATTCTCTGGGACACCTGGGTGGCTCAGTTGGTTAGGTGTCCGACTTCGGCTCAGGTCATGTTCTCACAGTTTGTGAGTTCGAACCCCGCATTGTGATCTGTGCTGACAGCTCTAAGCCTGGATCCTGCTTCAGATTCTGCATCTCCCCCTCTCTCTGCCCCTCTACCTGAGAGAGAGAGAGAGAGAGAGAGAGAGAGAGAGAGATGGCATTAAAAAACCCTCTCTCTTAAAAATAAATAAACATTAAAAAATTTTCAAATATAATTCTGTCTTATAAAGCACCTGAATTTCTATTTTATGTTAGAGGGATACCTTCAGTTCTTGGTTTGTTTATAGAAGTGAAGTAATAAAGACACCCCCTCTCCTTTTCATGAATGATTGATTGGTTCTGACTGTCTAGAGGATTGTATTGAGAAGGCCTCTGGTGGTGATCGTAGGTTCCACAGGGAAGAGAACTGTGATTAATTAATAATGTCTGCCATGAGAAGATATGAACAGACACTTCTCCAAAGAGGATATCCAGATGGCCAACAGACATATGAAACGATGTTCGGCATCCCTCTTCATCAGGGAAATATAAATCAAAACCACACAGAGATACCACCTCACGCCAGTCAGAGTGGCTAAAATGAGCAAATCAGAGAACTCTAGATGCTGGCGAGGATGTGGAGAAACGGGCACCCTCCTACACTGTTGGTGGGAATGTAAACGGGTACAGCCCCTCTGGAAAACAGTGTGGAGGTTCCTCAGGAAACTAACAATAGAACTCCCTTATGACCCAGCAATAGCACTGCTAGGAATTTACCCAAGGGATACAGAAATGCTGAGGCATAGGAGCACATGGACCCCAATGTTCATAGCAGCACTCTCCACAATAGCTAAAACATGGAAAGAGCCTAAGTGTCCATCAACAGATGAATGGATCAAGAAGATGTGGTTTATCTATACCATGGAATACTACATGGCAATGAGAAACAATGAAATCTGGCCATGTGTAGCAACATGGATGGACCTTGAGGGTGTTATGCTGAGCGAAATAAGTCAGGCAGAGAAGGACAAATATCATATGTTTGCACGTATAGGAGGATTAGGAGGAACTTGACGGAGGAACAAGGGGGAGAAGAAGGGCGGAAATGGTGGGGGAAAGGGAGAGAGGCAAACCATGAGAGACTCTTGAATGCTGACAAAAACTGAGGACTGATGGATGTGGGGGGGAGGGGGTGATGGGCATGGAGGAGGGCACTTGTGGGGATGAGCACTGGGTGTTATGTGGAAACTAATTTGACAATAAACTATTCGTAAAAAAAAATAAAAAATAAATAAATAAAAAAAATAATGTCTGCCATGAGCTTGAAGAGTGACAAGGTATTTGCCATGTATGTCACTTTTTTCTTAATCCCATTGATGGTAAAATATTTGTTTTGGTTTGATTTTTGTTTCTACTCAGGTTATCAGCATTGGGAATTCTGATGATTCTCTTCTTTATTTATCCTTCAAATAGTGATGTGATGGCGGGGAACACATCTAAGTATATATCAAAATACTTTACTCCATAACTAATTTAAAACTAAGCAGATTCTTGGGACACCTGGGTTGCTCAGTCAGTTAAGCATTCGACTTCAGCTCAGGTCATGATTTCACCATTCATGGGTTCGAGCCCTGCATCAGGCTCTGTGCTGACAGCTCAGAGCCTGGAGACTGTCTTCGGATTCTGTGTCTCCCTCTGACCCTTCCCTACTCACGCTGCCTTTCTCTGTGTCTCAAAAATAAATAAAACATAAAAAAAATTTTAAAAAAAGATTGAGCAGATTCTATCTACAGAGTATGAGGTATTAGACATAAAACAAAAAGAAAACAAATACTTAAAAGTTTTTTAATGGTTCCTCCTATTAAATCGTTTTGATTTCTTACCAACTGAATATGGAAATACTGAAACTTAAAATATAAAATATAGATTGATATTCCTGTTCCATCCCAAAATGTACATAATTCTCTAGTATTTCTATTCTCTGATGTTTTGGTCAATTTAATTTCAAATGAATCAAGCAATAGGATGTTTAGTGTAAATAACTGCACGTTTTCAAAATTATAGTAATAACTGCTAAAGCCCCCTCAGGTATGCTCTTCCAGTGAATGTTTTAAAAAGTTTTTTTTTTTTTTTAACATTTATTCATTTTGAGAGACAGAACACAAGTGGCAGGGGTGGAGGGCAGAGAGAGAGACACACACAGAATGTGAAGCAGGCGCCAGACTCCAAGCTGTCAGCACAGAGCCTGATGTGGGACTCAGACTCAGGAAGCATGAGATCCTGACCTGAGCTGAAGTTGTATACCCAACTGACTGAGCCACCCAGGCACCCCCCAGTGACTGCTTTAAACTTCATGTTCATAACTGTCATACTTTATTAACTTTCTTTGTCTTCACACATCAACTCTTGAGTTTGAAGAAGAAATATTTCTTTATTTTTAACTCAAATTATGAATAAGGGTAGAATCCAGTGAGACAAATAGAAGTTTTCTTTGGTCAATAGTTTCAGAGTTCAGTTTAGCTTTAAGCTACTAAAAGCTTAAAGGGTTAGATTTAGATGGGAGCATTTGGACTGAAGTCTTTGTGTGGGTGTTTAGCAAACATGAAATGTTTTAGGATTTTTGCACTATACTCTGGTGAGCCTTGAGGTCTCTGGAGCTAATTGTAGTACTCCCCAAAGGCTGATGGTTTTGTCCATTTATACAGTTCTTAGTTTATTTACATTTATTCAGTAAACCTTTGCATACTCAGTATATGCAGTTAGTCTGGGGGACTTCAGGGAGCCCATACCTAAATGAGTTACAGTGTAAAAGACTGAAAAATAGTAAGCAGATGGCCTCCCTGTGATAATGGTTGTTCACAGGAACATGGGAACTCATGGAAGAGGAATGTCCAGATTGGGGATAAAGGTGTCTCCAGGGAAGCCTTTGTAGAGGAGCTGAAGGATGGATAAAGGTTAGCCATGAAGTCCAGGCAATGAGAAAAACCATTTGTGAAAACTCAAGACTGTTTTTAAGAAAGTGCTTCCTAAGAACAGATTTAGGTTCCTGGGATTTATCTTGGAGCTAAAACTATCTACATTAGACACTCTGCATTCTCAGACTTAGTATGCTGATTCCCTTGTAGGTACCACATTTTGATTCATTCTTCAAGTGAAGAGGTTGTGTGGTGGAGAGGGAGGGACAGAGAGTGAGCTATTTTTCATTCACTAGTTCTCTTTTGTTAGCAGCTGCCTCAGTTACCTTAGAGCAAGCTACTAAGATTTAATTATTTAAAGCTTTTCTTATATATATATTTTAAGTGTACATTGTCTTTAAAATTTTTTAATGTTTATCTATTTTTGAGAGAGAGAGAGAAAGAGAGAAATTTAATGTTGATTTTTGTGAGTAGGGGAGGGGCAGAGAGAGACGGAGACACAGAACTGGAAGCAGGCTCCAGCCTCCACACTGTCAGTACAGAGCCTGATGTGGGGCTTGAACTCATGAACTGTGAGGTCGTGACTTGAGCCAAAGTCAGAGGCTTAACTGACTGAGCCACCCAGGCACCCCTACATTGTCTTTTTCTTAAGTTTATTTATTTATTTTGAAAGAGAGAGGGAAAAAGGGAGAGAAGGAGGAGAGAATCCCAAGTAAGCTCTGGGTTGTTAGTGCAGAGCCCAGTGGTGGCCTTGAACTCACGAACTGAACCGTGATTATCATAACCTGAGCTGAAATCAAGAGCTGGAAGCATGACCGACTGAGCCACCCATGTGCCCCTAAATATAGGTAACAAAATACCTTAGGTTGGGTGGCTTAAACAACAGAAATTTATTTTCTTACAGTTCTGGAGACTGGAAGTTTGAGATTAAGGTGCCTGCGTGGTTAGACTCTGTTAAGGATCTCTTCCTGACGTGCTGAAAACTACTTTTTCACTGTGTGCTCATACGGTCTTTCCTTGGTTGTCTGCTCAGGGAGAGAAAAATACAGAGACAGAGAGATAGAGAAAGAGAGAAATGCCAAGTCTGAAATTATTTAAATACTTAGAATGTTAAAAAGAGTTTTAAGTTCTAAATCAGGTAAATAATTACAGTTATTGAAGAAATGTTATGGGAAATAATAAAAACAAAAATAAATCAGTCACTTAATAGGTAGTGATATGTATGTACCATGATCAGGTTGTTTAGTGAACATTTTATGTCAGAGCACTTTGATTTTCCTTGCTTTATGAAAGAATGTCAGATCTGCAGGAATATGTTTTACATGTCTTCTAGTGGCATGGAACTTAATATTTTAAAAATAAGAGAAAAATATCAATCAACATTTTACCTGTTTTGATTTTCTTCTCTAGAGAGAACACACAACAGTGTGTGTATATATAATTATATATGTGTATATATATATATATATATGCAGCCACACCCATGATACATACACACATATGGATATGCATACACTTATGTATGCACATATGCTATTTCATTCAGTGTGTATATTCTTATTGTGTGAACCATTTCCTATAGAAAGGCTGTATGCTAGCATTTAGATATGCAGCCTAATAAAATGTACTACTTCTTGACAAACCATCGTGTTAGACAGCTGCAAAACAGCTTAAAAAACCAAGAAAGTTTAAAATTTAGATAAATATTGGCTATCTGTGGTTATGTATGGTATACAGTGCAATCACATTCATTTTGCAAAGGAGTCAGGTTGTAATGTCAACCCCAAGGACGACAATTTGATGTGAGCAAAATTACTCTTGAAAGTCACATAAATCTCTCACAATTGCAGCGTTTTCCCAAATCTGCCAATTTTATTTTTGTTCTCTCCCCTAACAATAGAACAAATCACTGTCCTTTGACTGAATAACTAGCGTAGCTGTTTGTGTTGAGGGGACATGTGTGAAATCGCATGTACTCTGAAACTCTGGGCTTGCGTTCGCACAGTGATACACTCGCTGCCATCAGAGGCCGAGGGCACTGACCCTGGCCACAAGAATGCACCTCCCACTTTGACCCAGGAACATGTGTTCACTGAATGTGATGGAGGCTGGGTGGTGAAATTGTCATGCTATTGAAGTTGTTCTCTTTCCCTCCCCTTTCTCTCTAACTCCCTCCTTTTTCATTCTCTTGTGTTTGCTGAACATGTGCAGTCATGCAGATGAATTTACACACACTTCAACTTTATAGCATATGGCATATTATACACATCTCTGTTTATGTGCTTATTTATATGTTTTCCATTGACATGAAGTCACCTATATAAATACTTATGTGGGTGGCTGTTTGACTTCTGGAAAATTCTGTTAGGAGTGTGAATTTCATTTCTGATTGCACCATGTAATATTGTTGGATTCCTAGCCCATGTGATTCCAAAAAGGATACACAAACCAGTTTCTACCCCTGGAAAATAATTCAAACTACTGGCCCATCATCACATGATGGGAACTTTCTGAGCCCCATCATGGTATAGTAGTCATCATTAAGGCTTTTTCCTAAATGAAGACATCAGTTAAATTCTCAATTCTGTTTTTTGGTTTAGAATAACCATTTATTTATCTTATTGTTGTGTTGTCATTTTTATATTGATTTACTAAACACTGCAGTTGATAGTTCTATTTTGTAATCTCCTGTCTACCCAACTGCCATGTACTGACCACAGTGAAAGTACTTTCCCAGTGGAAATTCAGTTAAATCATTCTCTGAAAATTTAAGTAAACTGTATTTTTCTTCATGCAAAACCACAATTGATTACATGTATTTCCTGCCAAGGCTAAAAAGTGTTAATTTTGAATGTTATATTTCATCACTAAGGGCAGTGTCAAGTTCATTTTAGTTTGATTTTGACGTTGTGTTTAAGTACAATTTTCATGCTAATTGAAGTCTTTAATATTAAAGGAAAAAAGTCAAAGTATACAGTCTTAAAGTATACAATCTTCTGTAAGGCATTAAATGTAATTTAAAAACTCCAAAATATTATTTGTAAGAATTCTCTTGTGGTTGTCACATAGCTTAATTATTGATTCATCAATTGTTTCCTGAATACCAAATAAGCACTCTTAAAAGCACTGGGTATTTTGCAGTGAGGAAAAGCAAATCCTTGACTTTGTGAAGCTTATGGTCTCCTGGAAGGATGATCAGCAATAAACACCTAAAGACATAACAACCTAGGGGCACCTGGGTGGCTCAGTCGGTTAAGCGCCCAACTTCAGCTCAGGTCATGATCTCACAATTTGTGGGTTCGAGCCCTGCATCAGGCTCTGTGCTGGCAGCCAACTCAGAGCCTGAGCCTGTTTCAGATTCTGTATCTCCCTCTCTCTCTTACCCTCCCCTTCTCAAGCTGTATCTGTCTCTCTCTCTCTCTCTCTTTCTCCCTCTCTCTCTCTCTCCCTCTCTCAGAAATAAATAAAACATTAAAAAATTAAAAAATAGAAATAACAACCTAGTTAAGTTTCAGGAAGATGAAGGTCAGAGTTCAGTGGTAGAGAATAAAAACAAGGGAACTGATGTATTGGATGATTACTGTTTATTGGAAAGCATAAACTTGTAAAGCTGAGACATAAAGAATGAGAAGGGGTCAGGCATGTAAAGAGCATTGGGGCAGAACAGCCTAGGCAGAGATCAGCAAGTAACAAGACTCAAGGCATAAAAGGGCTTGGGTGTTTCTAGAACTGGTGTGATTGCTTGCATCAGAGCTTGTGTGTGTGTGTATGTGTGTGTGTGTGTGTGTGTGTGTGTGTGTGTGTGTGTGTGTGTATGAGTGTATTGCAGTAGGGGAAATGAGGAGGAGGTGGCATGGGATTAGATTAATTAATAAACAGGTACCAAATGATTCAAAACTGTACAGGTCATGGTTAAGATTGTAAATTTTAAAATAAGCACAATGAGAGCCAATTAAAATTTTAAAAGTAAAAAAATCATTAGCTGATTTAAATTTTTAAAAGCTCACTCTGACTGTTTTGTGGAGAATGAAATATGTGTGAGCATATGTTTGCATTTGTGGTTCAAAATGGAAGCAATAAGACCAGTCAGAGAGCTATTAGAATCCTCTGATCAAAGACAAGGGTGGCTTGGAGAACAGGGTGGCAGTAGACATGGAGCCAATTAAGATGGATCTGAAATATGTCGGGGAGGTGTATAATCTTCTGATATTCAGGATGAGGAAAAGTCAGGAGTCAAAAATAATCCCTTTTCTTTTTTTTTTTCTTGCTCTCCCCCCGCCCCCACCCTTAACTAGGAGTATCATGGTACCACTTATTAAGATCAGGTTTTGGGCAAGATCACGTTTCAGAGGGCGATTATGTTCACTTTTAGATATCTAGTATCAAACCTATTAAAAAATTTATGAATTCATCAAACATTGATTGAATTCACCAGATGTCAGACATTGCACTAGGTGTTGATGATATCTGGTGTCTTTATGCTTATGGAATTACATAGATGGTAGATTTCAGAGTGCTGAAATTCCTCAGGAACTATAGCTAGAAGTGATACAATCCAGCATCCTCACTTTAAAGATGAAGGGTAGGATTGGAACCTTCTAATTTCTGTAGAAATATCAAAGCTCTTCTATAAAAATCATGGTTACTTTACTAAAACATAATTTTACTCATCCAAAAATAGTCATGGTGTTATTTTCTCTTAGGAATATGATACAATCTGCTTTCATTCCTGTTTCAGTGAATTGTTACAATTAGTACTATTAAAAGACTTTCTGATGCATTCTGAAGTCATGAAAATATAAGCATGATATACAGGAGGTAAGTGGGCGATACTGTCATTGATTTACTGGACTTATAGAAGACAGAAGCAGGGGAATCATGAACCATGTTCTAATGTGCACACATTTTTTACTGAGATGTTAATGGTAGACAAAGGCAGAATGAGGCGCTTGTATTTTTTATGTTACTGATGGTAGGTTACCAATGACTTTGAAGCATTTTAGTGGGAATTTTTCACATTTAATAGAAAACATGAATATGAGATGAAAGGAAATAAAAAGAACCCAAAAGAAAAAATTTGTTGTGTACAGTGAATTAGAAATGTTTGTGTACGTCTGCCTGTGTGTGCCTATGTTGGAATGTTTGTTTTAAGGTCTTAGTCAAATTTATAAGTTAAGATATTTGGTCAAAGAATAAATGGGTGATGATGAAATAGCAGGTTGTATAGATGTGGACAATTTAAATATGAGGAAGCCAAAAAAGATGATTTAGAGTGGTCTGAATAAGCATGCTTATTATCTAAATTATGTTACAGCATTTATTGTTCATTTAGAATGATGTTTACTTGGCTCTTTATGCTAGGTCAAGTACTGTGAAAGAAAAAAAAAGATGAAAATTCCTGCCCGAAGGGCATAACAAACATGAGACATCAGGCATGATCCAATCTGCACACACACAGGCACACACAGGATGGGAGAATGTTTCCTGCACTAAGTGACTTTTCTCACGGGAATGCCCTATAGAGCAAAGGAAGCTTTTAAGATGTCTTGTAAAGATGTGGACCTTTAATAAAGAGGATATTTCAGTATAAGAAAGGGAAAAGTGGATACTGAGTGAGACTGACAGTAGTTAAGCGACCTCCTTGAAGCTTAAAAGCCAGGATGGAGATAGATGCAATGCATGCTGGTAGAAGAGGGAAAACTACTAAGATGGTTAAAATGATCAAACTAAGAAAAATTAGAACCAAAGTTTTGCTCCATCCCTGCAACCGGAATAGTAGGACTAAATTCAAAGAAACTAGAGGCCCAGTGTGAGTTTGACCCTGGAGCTTTAAGGAAGAAACGTAAATGACCAAAGGCTGACAATGAAAACTACATGGAATTTATAACTAGGATTGTGTACATACAAATCAAGTGAAAAATTAGTGGTGAAAATGAAGGCACGCTTGTCTTCTGAAATCAAGCAGAAAATAAAGAGGTCTCTGCGTGAATATGCCAAACAGGATTATTGCATGTTTTATTAATTAATCTGTATTCTTGTATCTTCCTCAAAGACACAGGGTACACACTGGACTTTTCACTTCTTGAAAAAGTACTTAGAAAGAAACACAAACAATACTTTCCAGGAAACTTTTAGGATAGGAAAATGTCTTATTCTTGACCACTTGTCCACAGCTTTCCCAGAAAGCCACCTCCTCTGTTACTGTGGAGTTAACTTCTCACCTGTGGATTAATGTTTCTTCCATGATAAACTCATTTTCTTGCTATGTAGAGTGTGTATGACCTTATACCCCTTCAGGCATAACCTCGAAATGTTCTTCCTCACGCAGCTGGAGTGCACCACTCACTCCTGGACTTGAAGGAAACTCAACTGGCCAAGCAGGTTTTTCCCCCCTAGACTTTTTCAGCTGCACTAATTCCTGACCAGCCAAAGAAACTCTCAAGGCGATACTTTGGGAGAATGGGGAGCAGATACATCTTGAGAAATTTTCACATATGTAAAACAAATGTCTTCCATTGAGGTTTTAAAAATAGTCTCTTTAAACTTTAACATGTGTTAGTCTAGTGTTTGCTCAGATAATCACAGGCCTACACAAGCAGGACACAATGAGTGTGCACCAGACACAGAGGCTCATTATCATGAGAATTGTGTTTTTGTTGGGGATTTTCGTTTATTTTCAAAACTTGCTTCTTAACATATTACCTGTAGAAATTTCCCGTTCTTTAGTTCTATTTAGGGAGAAAGGAATATTATCACCCAGCTGACTTGCTCTTTAAAAGAAAATACAACAAACTTTCCCCAGGTTTTCTCCAGGCATATTGTTGTCAGGTTGTGGTTTGCCTCTAGAAATTTGGCAAGTAAGTTGATAAGCATTTTTCACTCTTCCTGCTTTTTTTGAGGGACAGAAGTGATTTAAGTGGGAATTGAGTATACCAGAATACCTTATTCTCTTTCTGTTTTTATTTTTCTTATTTGCTAAATAGGAAAGTTCATCAGCTTGATAATGGAGGAGAACAATGACTCCACCGAGAACCCCCAACAAGGCCAAGGGCGGAATAATGCCATGAAGTGTGGGTGGCTGAGGAAGCAAGGAGGCTTTGTCAAGACTTGGCATACTCGCTGGTTTGTGCTCAAGGGAGATCAGCTCTATTATTTCAAAGATGAAGATGAAACAAAGCCCTTGGTAAGTAGGAGAAAATAAAAAGCGCTCTGGTCATAGGCAATCCAAAAAGTAGAAGGTTTGCTAGAAACTGATGGAGTCCGAGGTCAACCCAATTTCCCTCCTCTTTCAGTTCATTGGCATCTTTCACACCTTTTCTCATTGTTTATTTTGGTTCAAGATGATACACTTGCTAATTGAGGCCAAGAGGCAAATTATACTTGTCTGATATTAATTTTGACTTTTACTAAGCTGGAACACAATGTCTGAGTCCCTCGGGCATACTAACTTTATGAGAAATTGTAATGAACATCTGCTAGACAATATATATTGTAGTCAAAACATCTTTTCTTTTCTCAGAAATGAGTTAAAAGCACAGATTTGAAGGAAAACTATAACCAGGACTTTCAGTAATTTTTGAGACACCTTCAGCATCAATTCCCTGGGGACTTCCTTCCACCTTTGCTCACATAAAATATGGATATGGTGCTAAATGGAACAGTGCTGATACATCCAATCATCATACATGATATGCTCTTTTGGGAGTAGTTTCTGTGTCTTTGTGTGGTTCCTTAGTGGTCTTGTATTTACTTATTTACTTATCATTTTTTCAGCCACAAATCTCTAGGCTGAAATGAGGGAGAGGAAAAATCTCTAGCTCTTCCTGTAGCTAAAATAAGCTTTCTTATTGTATTGGGATCACCAATTGATGGAAAGAGCTACAAACTGAAGTATCCGCCATGTATTTTCTCTTCATCTTGTATCTATAGGATATATAAATGAAAGAAATATTGTGGATTAGATGACATAAACATCCCTAACAGTATGTTTTTGAGCCTATTTTTCTTGTGTTAAAGTTCAAGAACTTAATTAAGAATTAAAGAATACCTGCTTTAGTATTTTATATTCTCAGACATTATAATTTTGCAAAGATTCCATTTGTCTAGTTGAATTATAAGAAATAACAAGAGCACATACTATAAACACATTTGGAAATTGCTACTATATTTTAAGCTTTTATTTACCAGGTCCAGGCATTAGACTAAAAACTTATATATACATATACATATGTATATATAACTTATATATACATATTTATGCATATATGTTATGTATATATAAGTTATGTATATATAACTAATATATACATATAGTACATATATACTAATATATATATTAGTTATATATATGTATATATATATACACACAGTACATATATACTAATATATATATTAGTTATATATATGTATATATGTATATATATATACACACACAAATATATATATATACATGTTATCTTATTAAATGTTTAAAATAGTCTTAGGAGGTAGGATTATCCCCATTTATGCAGGAAGAAACTGAAGACCTCATAAATAAATAAATAAGAATATTTATATTATAATTCATTCATATGATATATAAAATATAATATATAAATACATAATATATTTAAATTATAGTGCATTTTCATACCAGTCATTGAATTTGTCATAACAAGCCAGTGCGGGATGTGGGAGCTGTCATTACAGATGAAGAAATTGTGGCTTAGTGATAAGAAGCAATGTGACCAAGGTTATATGGACATCAGAGGCTTATAAAGCAGTAGAGTCTTTTGTCTCTTATCCTATTATCCAGGGTTTTTTCTCATTGTACTTTGTTTTATACTATATAATACTCACATTATAGCATTATCTTGACTATAAAATCATTTTTATTGGGGCATCTGGGTGGTTCAGTCAGTTAAGCATCGGACTCTTGGTTCTGGCTTAAGTCATGATTTCATGATTTGTGAGATTGAGCACTCTGTATCAGGCTCTGTGCTGAGAGCCTGCAGCCTGTTTGGGATTCGTTCTCCTTCTCTCTCTGCCCTCTCTCTTTCAAAATAAATAAATAAGCATTAAAAACATATAAAATAATTTTTATGAAACTCAGGGAAAGGGGTTGGGTTAATGTGAGAAAACAGATATGGAGGATCTAATATAGGGACTTTGATATGGAATAAAATGGAAGTATGAGTAAGAGCCAATATTCTGTTGCATGGAGTCTCGTTCTGGCATAGTTTGGTCAGAATGAGTTTAGATTAAATGATTAATTACATAGGATCCAGGACCTAAATGGGGAATAAGGGGATCAGAAGATTCAGGAGCTGAGCAAGTGAAGATGTGAAAGATCAGACAAATGTTCTGACTCTTTGGTGACCTTAGTGGACCTTCTAACAATGAACGTGGGATAGAGTGGATCAAACTCAAGCTCAATGTTTCTAAAATCTGAGAACTTGCAGCTGTTAGAGAATATGCACAGGAACCCCAGTTTGAGGAACTCTGCCCTAAACTGTTCAAAGAGGATATTATCATACAGCCTTGGCTATGTAATGTAATTTCTCTGTGTAATTTCTCAGAAGGTCTATACACGCACAGAATGGTCTTCAATGCAGTGTAGTTATTTTGCTAACAAATTGGAAACATCAATAAAACAATGCAAAAACTTCTGATTAATTCAAATGAAAATCTGCCTCGAAATAAAAATCACCTTAATTCATAATATTTCTAATTTGTGTTTTGATATTATTATATTAGCAATATTTCTAAACTTATAATAACTAAAATTAACAAAAGAGAGTTGTATTGATGAGAAAGTACTAATGCTTATTATACAAGCTATATTTAGGCTACTATTATTTCCCCTAAAAAAGTTTCTTAATTTTTCTTTACAAATATCATTTGTTAATAAAGAAGTCAAAATTTGGGGTGAATAACTGACTTACTATTAAGTAATTAATCACCTCAATGAAAAACAATTAAACATCTTTAAAAATGTTAAAACTGGAAAAAATTTAATTGATGTAAATCCCCTCCTTTTACAGATGTGTGTGTGTGTGTGCGCGCGCGCACGCACGCGTGTGCATTTATGCATGTTAATGTAATATGTGTGCATTGCTTATGGAATATTGTTAATGACTGTCAGATGAGGAATAAAAAACAGATTTTCTTGCTCTTAATCCAGTGTTCCCTCAGCTTTGCTTTTTTGCCTGCTCACAAATCCTTTTCTTTAGATTTGCTTTCAATCAGAACTACTTCTTGGTTGTTTATTTTCAATATTGGTGCTTTCAAGCGTAGGAATGCTCTTGGCCTTCATATATTTTGATGAGGGTTATTTCACTATTACTGGAGGGAATGTCACTAATGAAATGAAAAATTCACCCTTTTAAGTATTCCTAACTATCTAAAACGTTCAATAAACTTAACCTGGATTTGTTTTTCTCTCTCTTAAAAGGCATTTCTACAATGAGAGTATTAACACCCTTGAAATGTGTGTTTCTCCCATCCTAGGCAAAGGTTTTCAATTTATTTTAATAAAACTTTTACTGAGCTTCTTTTCCTCCACTCAATAAAGAAAGTCAAACTCCATATTATTCTTGCTATTAAAAACTACACATCTGTTGGGAGAAACACATATGCAAAATTATGATTGGACAGGTTATCATATAAGGACCAGATGCTCCGAAGACACAGATACAGTTAATGCCAGGGAGTGAGCGATGATTCTGTGCAGAAGGGTTGAGGAAGGTGACACAAAGCAAGAGGTGACCTTTACCTGAGGTGCTGAGGGTTAGTGGGAGTTCTCCAGGTAGATAAATGGAGGAAAGGAATTCAGAGCACAGGAAAGACATAGAGCTGCAAATAGACATTTATAGATAGCTCCATATTGTGAGGGTTGTGAAACAACAGGAAATGGGGTTCCAGTAATAGGAGACCACAACATAAAGGAATGTATGGATTGTACAAAGAGACCAATTCTCTTGCACACAATGGGAAGCTATTTCTAGAACACCTATGCTACTCAAGTTGCAAAACTACATTAATCTGTTAGAAATAATGACAGCTATTAAAAAAATGTATTTGTCTGTTTGGGCTGCCATAACAAAATGCCGGGTGGGTTAGACAACAAAAATGTATATTCTCACAGTTCTGGAGGCTAGAAGACGGAGATCAAGAATGGTCGCCAGTGAAGCCTCTCTCTTCCTGGCCTGGAGACCGCTTTCCCTCTGTGTCCTCACATGCCTGTTGCCTTGTGTACAGAAGGATAAAACAGTTTAAGGACAAGAGACCTATGGATCAGAGCCTTACCTTTATGATCTCATATAACTTTAATTATCTCCAAGTACAGTTACATGGGGCGGGGCGGGGGAGTGAGAGTAGGGCTTCGATATGTGAATTTTAGGGGGACACAATTCTGTCCATCATACCTACTATGTTGCATACCTCTGTTAATGAACATAATTTTTTTCAGTTAGGTTTTTCTCCTACTGGTACCATCAACTTTGATCTCTACCAGAACCTAATATATCTGATTTAGTGCATTATATACTTAGTTATGTGAACCTACTATTGGCATCTTATATTCTTATTCAAACTGCACCTTGCCTTCTAAATATTCTACAATCTGCACAGGTTTGAGAACTTAGAAAGTCTCACTGCCACTGTTCTTGTATTTTCTTTTAGAGCAACAGACAAAAACACCTGTAAGTTCTCCTCCCTCTGGCAAAACTACCTAATTTGTAAATAAGACTTTCAAGTCTTAAGCAGGGTCCCCAGGCAATACATTAGAGGTGAACCTCAAGATATAACTATTTCATATTTAAAATAAGTCCAACTGAAATTCTTAATATCCCATCATTTTTAAAAGCAGAGAAACTTTAGTTTGTTTAGTTCAAAACTTTCTATCAAAATCATTTTCTACAGTGCCTGCACTTACAAATACAGATTTTATTCAGAACAGATTTAAAAAATAAAGTTGAAGATGTGTAGGGTGTGTCTGGCTGGCTCAGTCAATAGAGTGTGTACCTCCTGATCTCAAGGTCATGAATTTGAGCCCCACATGGGGTGTAGACACTACTTAAGAAAAAGTTATTCTCGGGGCACCTAGGTGGCTCAGTCGGTTAAGTGTCTGACTTTGGCTCAGGTCATGATCTCACACGGTTCATGGGTTCGAGCCCCACGTCAAGCTCTGTGTCTTCTTCTCTCTCTGCCCTTCCCCCCCTCTCATGCTCTGTCTCTTTCAAAAATAAAAAGAAAAATTTTTAAGTTATTCTTAAAAAGTAAAGTTAATTTTGGTTGTTTCCAAACAACAAAAACACAGAAAAATGTTGTATATAGACAATTTTAAAAAATAAACAAATATATCCATAATCGTTGTAAGCATTTTATAGTAGTACATTTTTCCAGTTTTTAGGTAATGTTTTTCTTTTTCATTTGAAATTAAGTCCTACTTATATATGGAAAAATGTTAAAATTATACTGTGTGAAAAATCTATGAAAAAAAGTTCTTTTAACTACCCTAAACAACTTTAGAACTTTTGGATAGTTATTTTAAAAAAGGTTTTAAAATAGACTTACATTGAGTTTATGACAATATCTGTTTGGGCGTCTTTTATTCATGATCATAACAAATGACTGTGACCTTAATTATAGATATTGTAACATGAGGCAAGCAGCCGAGTCCGAGATAGAGTATGATCATTATAATTCTAAAATTAAGGTAGCATGCAGATTTTGCAGCTGAATCCAGTGATGAATTCCAGAGCTTTTTTGAAATCATCTGTCTTACTTCCAGCATGAAGTATACTACTACCTAAATAATAGCGAAGTTTCAAGTTTGGCCATACTTGTGAGTGTGTTTGACATACCTTGGGCACTAGAATTTGAAGTTAAAAAGCAGTGATTTTTAGAAGCCAGCCTGAGATGCCTGATAAAATAATTAAAATCCAAATAGGCACCAGCTCAATTAATCTAGTCTAGATTTTCTACAACAGGTATTGATCTGGTTGTGTGGAAAGGGTTTTTTTTTCTGGACATGATAAAGATGATACTATATTAGATCACAATGAATTTTCTTAACTTAGAGAATAAAGTGATTTTTAGTGAATTATAACCTGAGGGTTGACCCCTAAGTGTGCAAGAATTGATTACTGATTTAAGAGTAAGCTCTAATTTTATATATTTAATGAAACTTGTAAGTTAATGAAATCAAAATCTCTAAGGCACTTGCTGTTTGTTAAAATATATGAGCTAGAAGAAGACAAAACCCCAATTAAGTGTTTAAGATAATATTAGGAACCTTGAACTTAGATTTCATCCTTAAATCTAAAACTGACTTTCTGTGTAGCAACTAAATCTCTTGGTATTTAAAAATATGCATAGAATGGTGTTGTGTGTCATCATAGTTTTTTGGGAAATCTTATCTCATTCCTAGAAAGGATTATATCAAGAGACAGTGTTAATATGAAATATTATTTTATTCTGCTTTTAGTTGAAGAATTTTTTAAATTGCTTACTTCTACACAGCTATTTCAGAGTGGTTAAAATACAGACTTTGAGTCAGATTGTTTGGATTGAATCTTGACTCAGCCAGATACTAATTATGATGCATTGAGTAGGGAGTAAGCTGATTTAAGCTTCAATTTACTAATCTGTGCAATGAGATAATAATAGTATCTATTTCATAACATGGTTAAAAGGATTGAATTAAGTAATTTATATAAATGATATTAGAAAGCAGTAGCACATAGTAAGTTTAAAATACATGTTAACTGTTTTCATATTAGCATGACAAAAAGAAGAATTTCTCAAGATATTCATGCTACTTATTCATTCCTTTGAGTTTTAAAAAAATTTAACACGTATTTATAAATTTCTAATGTGCTCTAGTTATTATGCTCATTTCCACAAAACATAAGGGTGATATAGCCAATCCTATAATAAATAGATTCCCCCTTTCTGCCTCCCCCCAAAGAAAAAGAATTTAAAAAGAAGCAGCTTGTTTCTTTCTCAGGTAAAAGTCCAAAGAGATTCTAGGTGAGTGAGAAAGGTTCTTCTTGGTTTGTTCCAAACAACTGTTTAGAAACCCATGCTGCCAGAGACTTTGTAATTTTAACTTTTGGCTTCCAAATTCACCATGGGGTCATTCCCTTCCCAGTCAAATAGAAGGGAGTATTGCATAGAAGGTTTGGATGGACCAGGTGTGGTAGTGGCTCTTATCACTTCCATTCATATTTCATTAACAAGAATGGAGTCATTTGACCAAACCTAACTGCAAAGAGGTCTGGACATGTAGCCCAGCTTTATCCTGGGCTTTGTCCAGAAGAGAACATGAGTATTGGAAGGAGTTAGCAGTCCCTGCCACAGGTGATAAAATAATACTAAGCATCATGAATCCGGTGTTAAATTCTGGGGGGTGTTAACAGATTATTGCAGTTGCTATATACAATATAATAACTATTTACCATTGGAGGCCAAAGGAGGGACCCCTATCACCACTTCAAGGTTCAGGGAGAGTTTTTCAAAAGAGTATATACTGAGAATTGAAAGATGATATAGGTTTATTACAAGGTGTTGGGGTGGTATATGTGGCAGAATAAAAGATGTAAGCCATGGCTCTTTGGTAGATTGTTGGGAAATATGTGAAGCTCAAGTAAGAAAGACAAGAAGTGATGAGAGATGAATTTGGAGATGTACGCAGAGACAAGCTGTGTTAAGGATTGTAGATTTTATCTTGAGACCTTGCATTTCCCTTGCTTTTATATGCCTCTTTTCTTTGGTTTATTGGAATTAGAGCTAAACAGTGAATATAGGGCTCATTCTAGGTGAGACTCATTGTGAAGGAATGCAAAATGCCTACCTAACTAAAAAGTCCTTCTCTGACAGTTCTAAAGCTGTCTAGGGTTCCTGTAGTTAGCTGTTTTGTATTATGACATAATCTCTGGAAAAATGATGGACAAGCAACTATGCTACAGATAAACTCTTGACCTTCTATCATCCATTATAACCTAAGCATGAATTGTGGGCATGCCCATGAGGCCACTTTTTTTTTTCCCTTCATAGAAGAAAGGATTGAAAAAATTTGGGGCCGCCTGGGTGGCTCAGTCAGTTAAGCGTCTGACTTCTGCTCAGGTCATGATCTCACAGTTTGTGCGTTTGAGCCCCGCGTCGGGCTCTGTGCTGACAGCTAGCTCAGAGCCTGGAGCCTGCTTCAAATTCTGTATCTCCCTCTCTATCTGACCCTCCACTGCTCACGCTGTCTCTCTGTCTCTCAGAAATAAATAAAAAATAAACATACAAAAAATTAAAAAAAAAAAAAAAAGAAAAAATCTCTTGCTGCTGGAGAGAGCATTTGGAGTGAAGAGTAGCAGATAATGTCTTGGACAATCACAGAGATGGATGGTGGGACATGGTATATGAGAAGATTTCATCCTCATAATTTTCTCCAGAACTGACTTTGTTCAGGTTGGGCATTTCCCTGGAAAGCTGCTGAACCCAGTTGTTTTGTATGCAGGTTCTAGTGTCAGATTGCCTGGGATCAGATAAGATTCCATCAGTAGCTATAAGCCTTGGGTAAATTTGTTTTTACTTACTTAACTAAGTTACTCATCAGTTAAATGTAACAAAACCTATCTCACAGAGCAGTTAGCATACATGAAATGATGTTTCTAGAGTACTCATACATTACCTGACTACATATTAAACTCTTGGTAAATATTATGTATTGTTGTTGGTATCATCATCATCATCACCATTATCATCATCATCATCATCATTTTCGTAATCTTTGACTATCAGGGTAACATGACACGGCAGTTTAGAAGTTAGGACCTACAATATATGCCTTGTTACTTGAATAATGAAGAAAGTAATGGATAATCAGCCCATGTAAGTAATGCTAACCTCAGAGCAGAAGATAAACTTGTTTTTGCTTGTCACCTATGTTGTCAAAACACTGAACTCACATGGAAAAATTCTCAAAAAACAATGATCACCTTTGTAGTATGTCTTTTCTTTTTGTTTAAATTACTTTTTGGGCTCCTTTAGAGCTTATTGAAATGATTATGATGATAGCTAAGGAGACTTGAAGGATTTTCTTTGCAGAACTGGACCACCCCAGAGAGAAGGAGCCCTCCTTTTCTTCTTTTCTTATCTCATGTGCAACACTTATTCCTCAACACCAGTTTGAGAATTACTGCAGTTGAATCTCTTGAGTTCTGCTTCTAACATTTAATCATATT